CCACTCCTCCTCCTACAAAGTGCTGTGGTGTTTCATCTGATGCTTTTGTACACGCTCTGACCTTTATGAAGTTCCATAGTCTGGTTTTTTACTTGTTCATGCAGTTCCTGTGCATGTGGAGCCAGGCTGCACTAGACACAACCCATACTAAAACTAAGAAAACTGTGGTTCTTTTGTTCATGCACTCAGCCTTAAAGGGAAATTCCTGGTGTAATCATAATTGTTTGAGGGATCACATGTGTACTTGCTTTTGTTCCACTGAGGTTGGATTTTGGGGCCCTTAGTTTCAGTGTAGTCCTCTTTATTTAGTCAGTTTTGTTGTTATTAATATTCTTATGTTTTCAGTATGGGTTTACACTTTTGAGTAGTGATGTTTAATATAGTGCAATTAAACGGTTTATCCGCTAGGTGACGCTAATGACTCAGGCAGCCACCGTGGTCACATGACTTTCCTAAAAGAAGCACGGCCTTGTTTCCATTTCCCATTTATGAATATGGTGGTTAACATACCGTTACCGAAGCTGTACAAATGACTGCGAAATTGTGTACATTTAAATAAAACCAGCATGTCAGAAAGCTGCCATCGGGTTAGCTCCCACCGGGAGCTGCCATCTTGGATGACAAAAAACAAGGGGAAAGAGAAGGAGCCGCTTAAGAGCCAGAGAAAACGGAAAGCTGCACGGTAACTGACGTAAAAACAACAAGGAGCCTGGGTTTTGTGCTGTTAAGCCATTTTAACTACATTTCAACGATATGTTTCCAGGGCTATTTTCTACTGCATGAACGAGAAAGAGCTGGTAGAAGCTGCTGTTTCGTTTCTTACCAACGGCGAAGATGTGGCTATTCTTGCTGACCATAAGGTGGCGCTGTTTTGTTCCTGTGTAATGTTTGATATGGTTTCCATACGGGAAACATGCTGCTAGAGACAATTGCTGATATTCTGTGGCAACAAAACAATTCTCAGTAAAAACGTATAATAGTAACAATAATATATGGACATAAAAAGTCAACATGAGAAAATTACTGAACTATACAAATTATACATTATAGCCGATGCAATAAATTATAGGTGAATGTTTAGTTTTTATAAAACACATATCAAATATGTAAATGTTTTATGTATGTAAAAATGTAAATGCACTGAGATCCTTAAATTTGGACATCTACAAGTATATCCAGGACACATTATTCACTCATAGTATATCTACAGTGGATTCAGAAAGTATTCAGACCCCTTTACTTTTTGCATATTTATCATATTCATAGTTTGTACTGTCATGTAATAATTGCTTTTAATTTGATTTAATGTTTTAAGCTTATTTGTATTCCAATGCTTTATCTATGTATGCATAGATGAAGCTTTGAATACTTCTGAGATGAAGTGATTTAGGTTTGTGATTCTTGATTAATTTTCAGAGAACTCTATGACCATGGTTTCACTTTGTCATCATGGGTGATTAAGCGCATAATAATGGGCAAAAATGGCAACTGTATCCTTTCAAAATTTAATCCACATCACAATGTGCAAAAGGTAGAGGGGTCTGAATATTTTGATTCCACTGTGCATCTCAAATAGTAAAATGTACTGTGTACTTCATATGCCACACCATTTTTAAAGTTGATGTAAAACATTAAACCACTTCTGAAACATCTGCCTCCACAGATAGCAGACGGGCCAGGAGGCACCACTGTGAAGATCAGGGAGGAACCTGCCTCTTCAAAGACAAAAGCAGAGGCTGTGGAGGAGGAGTCCTCAGACTGCAGAGATGCCCAGGAGATGGCATATGTTTCAGAAACAGAAAATAAAAAAAAGAGTGCCTTATACCAAGAGCCCGCAGTATCAAAGACCTGAGGGTCAGAGATCGGGACCACTTCAGGATCACAGCGGTCTCGTGATCACTGAACCAGAGGCCAAGAAAAGACAGCAGCACTCACAGATGCCAGCAGATACAACAGAGGAGGAGGACGATGCCTTACGGCTTGTGCAGGAAATTTTTTTCACCTGATGACTAATTTTATTGAACACCACTGAAATGTGTGCACTTACGCTTATCAAGTGTTTGCACCAAAGGAAACTTCCTCTCTTATTGAAGAATGTCACCCAAATTACAGTTTCATACAACAGTCTGATCAGGTCTTGTGAATGCAGACAGCTCCTCCATAAAACCGGAGTACTGATCCTGTAATTAATGTCAGTTTGGCACAGCTCCTCAGAAAATGGACAGAAAGAGTGATACTAATTAGCACTTTTGCATCAAAAAATGTAAATGCTGGTGGCTCACTGGCTCTGGCTCCAAAATGTAATGGAGCAGTAACATCTTTTAACGGGCAGCTGTATCAGTACTTTGACTGTTCTTGCTTGATTCAACATAAACTACAGTGCCTTGCGAAAGTATTCGGCCCCCTTGAATTTTGCAACCTTTTGCCACATTTCAGGCTTCAAACATAAAGATATAAAACTAATTTTTTGTGAAGAATCAACAACAAGTGGGACACAATCATGAAGTGGAACGAAATTTATTGGATATTTCAAACTTTTTTAACAAATAAAAAACTGAAAAATTGGGCGTGCAAAATTATTCAGCCCCCTTAAGTTAATACTTTGTAGCGCCACCTTTTGCTGCGATTACAGCTGTAAGTCGCTTGGGGTATGTCTCTATCAGTTTTGCACATCGAGAGACTGAAATTTTTGCCCATTCCTCCTTGCAAAACAGCTCAAGCTCAGTGAGGTTGGATGGAGAGCATTTGTGAACAGCAGTTTTCAGTTCTTTCCACAGATTCTCAATTGGATTCAGGTCTGGACTTTGACTTGGCCATTCTAACACCTGGATATGTTTAGTTTTGAACCATTCCATTGTAGATTTTGCTTTATGTTTTGAATCATTGTCTTGTTGGAAGACAAATCTCCATCCCAGTCTCAGGTCTTTTGCAGACTCCATCAGGTTTCCTTCCAGAATAGTCCTGTATTTGGCTCCATCCATCTTCCCATCAATTTTAACCACCTTCCCTGTCCCTGCTGAAGAAAAGCAGGCCCAAACCACGATGCTGCCACCACCATGTTTGACAGTGGGGATGGTGTATTCAGGGTGATGAGCTGTGTTGCTTTTACGCCAAACATAACGTTTTGCATTGTTGCCAAAAAGTTCAATTTTGGTTTCATCTGACCAGAGCACCTTCTTCCACATGTTTGGTGTGTCTCCCAGGTGGCTTGTGGCAAACTTTAAACGACACTTTTTATGGATATCTTTAAGAAATGGCTTTCTTCTTGCCACTCTTCCATAAAGGCCAGATTTGTGCAGTATACGACTGATTGTTGTCCTATGGACAGAGTCTCCCACCTCAGCTGTAGATCTCTGCAGTTCATCCAGAGTGATCATGGGCCTCTTGGCTGCATCTCTGATCAGTCTTCTCCTTGTATGAGCTGAAAGTTTAGAGGGACGGCCAGGTCTTGGTAGATTTGCAGTGGTCTGATACTCCTTCCATTTCAATATTATCGCTTGCACAGTGCTCCTTGGGATGTTTAAAGCTTGGGAAATCTTTTTGTATCCAAATCCGGCTTTAAACTTCTCCACAACAGTATCTCGGACCTGCCTGGTGTGTTCCTTGTTCTTCATGATGCTCTCTGCGCTTTAAACGGACCTCTGAGACTATCACAGTGCAGGTGCATTTATACGGAGACTTGATTACACACAGGTGGATTCTATTTATCATCATTAGTCATTTAGGTCAACATTGGATCATTCAGAGATCCTCACTGAACTTCTGGAGAGAGTTTGCTGCACTGAAAGTAAAGGGGCTGAATAATTTTGCACGCCCAATTTTTCAGTTTTTTATTTGTTAAAAAAGTTTGACATATCCAATAAATTTCGTTCCACTTCATGATTGTGTCCCACTTGTTGTTGATTCTTCGCAAAAAATTACAGTTTTATATCTTTATGTTTGAAGCCTGAAATGTGGCAAAAGGTCGCAAAGTTCAAGGGGGCCGAATACTTTCGCAAGGCACTGTAGATGAAACACAAATGAAGTATATTGTAAAGTTTAGACTCAGCTCTTAAATATTAACGTTTTGCTGAAGCCTCCTGATGCTGAGATAAATAGAGGTGGTCCGTTGATGCTGAATGTGAAACAAACAGCAGCTCCTTTAATGTTACAGTACATCACCACAGATTTTAAGTGGTTAAAGAGATGTGCTGCAGATGTGTAGGTAAACCCAGTCCTTGTTTCATGAATAAAACTGAATTCTTGATACTGATTTTCTACTAATTTACTGAGAACTACACTCTAGCTGAGCCTGTGGCCTCTGTGTTTGAGGGGAAAGCAAAATATAATAATTTAAGCTTCCTCTAAATGACTCCATAGTTATTTGTTTAAATTTACGGTGTTCACTTGACATTATGGTTATTTTTTGCCATTTAAATCATGACGTAGCAGTGAACATACATATTTTTCATACATACAAAAACTAGTGGAATATTTTTACTTTGAACAAGCAGCGTTTAAAACTTATGAGAAAACTAACTTGTCAGAGGTAACTCTGTTAATCTACCACCTTCTCACACAGCTTCTAACTTACCTGACTTTCAACACCGCATATGAGAGAAAGCTTTAAGCTTTAAATAACAGGTCATATTTCTAGTTTTTAATTAGGCCTACATAGGCTACTTGACGTCACTTTTACAAACCGGTTTGTCCAGAATTCACAACAGGGGTTTAGTATTCAACCTCTGTGGATCAGCTGATCAACATGGGCTACTTGCTCATCACGATCACGTTACATTTAAACGAAATTATTGATTTTAAACCTCTGGGCTCTATTAAAATAATTATCTGTTCAACAAAGATCCAGTGGTGATCGTTTTGAAACACAATTGAGTGGTGATTATGTGGAAATGTGACAGGTGTGGTTTGTTTTTTATGAACACTGATTCATAGTTGGATATTCAACTTTGATTGCGTAAAGGCAAACATGTAGTTTACGTTGTTTAGTCACGTCTGTGAAGCCACCAAGTCTGTCTGGCTCAGGAGTTGTATCGGCGTGGGTTGGTGCCGTGCACAGGTCACGGATGCGCACGGTGCGCAAGCGCTCGCACTCTGTCCTGTTGCTGCTGCGAGCTTGAACAGTCTGACGTGCGGACTTCTCCAAGTCGAAAGTGCGAAATCATCTGGAACTTTAACTCCTTTTACTGCAACGCAAAGACATTTAAAAGGTTGGTTACCCACTGGTTTCCTGTTTGTAACTGCACCTTATAACCAGTCTTTACTTTTCAGTTTAAATGTATTCAGCACAGGAGGGAGGCGGGGTCGTCTGCAACTGTTTCCTTTGCTCGTTTTGCATTGACCAGCAATTAATAGGAAATAGCACAGGGATATTGTTGACTATTAGAATTTTAATCAGGACACTTGTCATGTCATTGTGTTACAAATGCGGATCCATGGCTCTGACAGACAGCACAGCTGAAACAAGCTGTGGTTGTTTTACAGAATAATTAGAAAATGCAGACAAAGGGAAACCATAAACTATCATTTTCTTTTCAGGCTGGCTATTAAGCGGTAAACATTTTCAGTGCACATGAATGTATTTCTCATGAAATTAAGACCTGCCACAAGAAAGAGCACAAGTAAACAAAACACACAAAATGTAAGACCTTTGTTCAACCAGCTAAGTCATTTATGACAACTTTAATAAGGGATATTTGTACTTTTTGTATAGGACACTTGAACAAATGCATATTTATGAACTTGAAACAAAAACAACTGCAGTTTAACACACACTGCTGATAAAGGTTGGAGCCATGGTTGTGACAGACTGATGCTGGTGGCAACCAGAAATTTTATCATTAAAAAAAAAAAAAGGTATGACTTTTTGAAGCCACTTAATAGACTTTTTGCAGCCACTTAATATATATGATTTCACACTTCTGAAATTTTATATAGGCTCAGCATGGGAAACACAGACAGCAGAAGGCAAGACACCAACACTGCTGCAACTGAAGAGAAGACTGCAGAGTCTGGGATAACTCACACTCAGGAGGAGGAGGCTGTTGAGGATCTAGATGTGGTGGTGGGGGAGCCGGTGGAAGTGGTGGGGCGTTTACCCCATGGAGAATGCGTCTTAGAGTGTCTAGAGGCAGAGGCTCCTTCTGCCACACTATCCACACGAAATGATCCCGACCCCGAGCCAGTCCATTCTGAGCTTCTGGTTTCAGCCAGCGAGCCACCTTCAAAATCAGAACCTGCTGCTGAAGCTCAACTTGCTCCAGAACCGTTTCCTGAACCAGAACCTAGCTCAAATCTGGAGTCAGAAGTTGAGGCAGTCTGCGAGCCCACCTCAAAGCCAGTTCCAGCCCCAGCTAAGGCTCTAGAGCAGCAGTCAGACATGCTTACCCAAGAGTCTCTCCCTGAGCCAGTGCTTTCTTCACCCCTTTTGATCAACCCGAGTATCCCTGGTGTAACTCCTAAATCCGTCAACACTCCTCCCTCCCCAGCTCCCATCCCTGCCCCAGTCAATGAAGACAAGCCCTCAGACGTCCTGGTAACTGGGAAATGCCAAGACAGTAGTGAGGCTGCTAAGATTTCTATGCTGGAGCCAGGAAAGCCTGAAGAAACATCAGAATCTCTGGCAAAGCCAACACAGAATACAGAAAAGTTGGACCTGCCTGAGAGCGGCATCAGCGAAAGAAGTGTTAGTGGACTCCTGAAGAACTTGGAACTTGAAGGAAATGACCTTGCCACTGACCTCATTGTCAGCGATGTCAAGATCCCAGATGACACCCCCATCACTGATATAAGCACGTCCACTGAGCAGATGTGAATCCACTCACTCTACAAGAAAAATTCATGAAAGGTGAATAGATATTTTTTTCTGGGGGTATGTACTTAAGTGTATTGTTGGACAACAGAGATCTTCATCTATGCAAATCCACTAAGCAAGAATTAAAACATTTTGTACAGAATTGAAGCAAAAGGTACTATTGCTATACATATAGGAAAAGATGTCATGTTGATTAAGTCAAAAGGTTAAAATAAAAGCTTTTTGAAATGGTTATAAGAGTGTAAATTCATAAGATAATGCAAAAGGACACTATATACACAGCACTGTATAGCAAGATACAGGTGTTAATAAACATCTATGCCTTAACATAGTAATGCTTGAACTTTGCAATATTCCTCTCATATGAATGAACACCAGCTTATTGTATTTCCAGTATAATAAGGGCTTTAAAAAATCAATGAATGGCTTGCTTGTCCAAATAAAAATACTGTTTCTCATACATTATGGTCATGTTCCCATTTTTCTTTAGCTAGAATAAATATGTTGAAGTTTGGAGAATGGAACTGGGGGAAACTAGAGAAAGCCTAGCTGTATGACCACAAAGCTCCAGGTGTACAGTAGGTGTATTGTCCCATCACTGTGCGTGTGGAAAAGAACTCACCATACATGTACTAACATGTACAGTATCGGGCACAAAAGCCAATTCAGCAAAAGACCACATAAGAGAGACAGCGCCTTCTCACAGTCTCGTGGGAGAGAGGACAAGAGGAGAGGGCAGAAGAGGGGGAGAGATGAGGCTGCATTCTTTCCAGAGGAAGGAGGTTTTTGGGAGGTCTGGGTCAGAAGTCTACAGTACGACTGCATTTCAGTCCATGAGAAATCTGGTGCTCACATGCCTCTCCCACCACACACACCCTGCTCTAACATCTTCACAAAGTAGTCAGTGAAACTGTATGAGGTCACTTCTGCCTGTCTATAAATGAAACTTAGAAATGCAACTATTGACTTAGCTAATTTAAAAGGAACACTATCTAATGAACAGAAGACTGCTCTGCAATGTCATCAAGATGTACAGTACTGTGCAAGTCTTAGGACACCATGAAATCTGTGGTTTTAGCAGTTAGGATGACTAGATTTTTATGTTTATCAAAATACAACTAGAACATATAGGAAATATGTACACAGTATTAAAAAAAAGAATCAGTAAACAAACTGGATATTCTAGATGTGGTATTCAAGCTGTTATAAAGAAATATGAAGAATCTAGACAGGTCAAGGACAAAAATAGGAGTGTTAAACCAAACAAATCGGTCCAAATCTGATGAAAGGTTTCTCAGAGTTTCTTCTTTGAGAGACTGGAGGAAATCCAACAAGTTGATCCTTCCACAGTCTGAAGATGCTCGATCAGGAATGGCCTTTGTGGAAGGACAGCAGCCAAGAAACCGCAAAGATAGGAGTGAAAATCAGTGGAAAAGTCTTATGGAACGATGAATCAAAGTTTGAAATGTTCGGGACGAGTCGTCGACAGTAAGTGAGAAGAAGAGCTGGCGAGAGGTGGAAGAATGAGTGAGACAGCCTTCAGTGAAACATGGTGGAGGGTCTGTCATGGTTTCAAGACAGTCTCCCCAAAGGGATTCAAGCTATGCTAAGGGAGGTCACACTAAATACTGACTTTGGACTGTAGAAGCCTTTATGTACTGAAAAGTTTGTGTTAATATTATGTACATATTGCCTGTATGTTATGGTTATATATTGATAAAGAGGCTGAGAAATGAATATAAATTATCACTACAACCTTGCTAAACTAATGGTGGACTAAGACCTTTGCATAGTGCAATACAATGTGAAGCTGCTTTTCAAAAGACAGTATTTAAGATCATGATGTCTTCACCGGTACCATAATCCATAATTTATAGTGGAATTAAGCCCCACTTTCAATAAACATTATGTCTGGGGAGGCAACAGTGGTGCAGTGTGTAGAGCAGTCGTCTCCCAACCGGAAGGTTAAAGGTTTGAATCTCGGTGCCTGCAGTTAACGTGTTGAAGTGTCCTTGGGCAAGACACTGAACCCCCCCAATGGTTAGAGCCATCGGTTGAGGTGGCGCCGCAGATGGTTGCCTGGGATCTGTACCGGAAACAAATTCCTTGTGTGTAACATACTTGGCCAATAAAGGTGATTATCCTTGTCCAGTCACACCTAACTTCACCAGCCTACGTGTCAGGGCATGGTAAACGGCATAGTTTTGGCAACACACTGATGAGCCCCTACAGAGAGGGAGAGGCCTTTTTTACACAGTGATCTCAGTCAAGCTCTCCTCTTGCAAACCTTAGAGTCAACACACTGAGCTGCTTCTTCATGCACACAGAATGGATAAACAGCATGATTTACACTATGTGTGATTCCTGTCATAGCAGAGGCTTTCGGCTCAATAAACAAGAGTTTTGGACATGGTCAAACCCCCCCGTTGACTTCCTGACCTCTCTATGGACTTAGCAAATACAATATATAACCAATTTTATTGCATCGTCTGACTCAAAACTGCTGAAATTGACATCACTTCTTCATAGATTCCTTGGGTCAAATCCCATCGTTCTGCTAGACTAGATTTTATGTGCCCTTTTGAAAATGGTCATACTGTATATTAAACTTAAATAATACACAATCAGTATGAATGGTTTCAATGTATTTAGGGCTGGGCCACATCTTGTGAACACATTGTGCAAGTCTGGCAGACGTATGTGACCACACAGTGTTGCTGCACAATATGGTGATTCATCTAAAGGTGGTGCTAGAACAAAACAAAGGCTTTGGTAAAATGGTCTACATTCAAAGGATACACATCGAATTACCCAAAATCTGGAATTCTGTCTGGAGGTACAGTTTGACTTTAAAAGTTAATGAAAATCTGTTTACGTAGATGTAGACAAAGACGACACTGACAGAGAATTTTATGAAACTTGAACACCAGTTTTAATAGATAACAAAGAACAAAAAAGTACAATATAACTATATGGAGAGTATACTGCTTTGAATTATTTTACAATGTAGTCACTGTAGTGTTTTGATCTGGACAGAACAAAGCTGTTGCTTTACACAGGGCCATTATTAATGGGCTGGTCCAGGTTCTCAGGACAGGGATTTTGCACAACCAGCATCCTGGGCTTTACCTTTCTGAAGGAAAAAACATGAGGAGAAAAAAGGGCAGCTAATCTTAATGCAGTTTGACAGTTGTCTTGAATATTCAATCACCTTATTTCAAGTTTTATTTCCCAATCCAATGGATCTGCCAGAACAGAGCTAATCCAATTCCAATCCATATGCAAAACTAGCCCTGTATTTGAGCAGACTCAGTCTTGTTTTTGAGATGCATGTCATGCAATTAATAAGCTGCTATATTAATCAGTCCAGCCATCTACACTGCATGTGGGCTGACATATCACTCCTGCTTTATGCACATAGCATCGACCTGAAATCTTTTTCTTAGCTTTAAGTCTATTTTTCAGAGCAACATGCATAAAACGCTCCATAAAATCCACCAAAACAATGAAAGCTCACTAGTTCCAACCAGAACTTCAACAAAACAGAGAAATACGTCAAGAAAAAAACAGTTAAAACACATGATCTATCCTGAACATGGTGGTTCTTTTTAAACTGGGTGTAGTTAGTGTAGCCAATAATTCTGGAGTCAAAAAAACTGGATCAGGATGTCCCTACTTATTACCATTAGCCGCTTATATTTCTTGGCCAGATCAACATTGGTCCGCCCAGGTTGGAAGGAATATGACCACAAGATGGAGTTCCAGGAAAATCCAAATTTCTTTACCCCGCTCAGTAGATATCTCACCTCCTCCTGGCTGAAGTCCTTCCTCTCCCGTCTCTAAGAATAATAAGAAAAAAGGCAGAGGAAACAAAACTTTGTGTAAAGATTAGCTGGTCTGTCAGATGGACAGCAGATTATAAGACAAATCACAGGTACACTGATGTACGCCATTATCTCTTGTATGCAGTTCATCCTTTCACAAGCTATTTGACTGTCAAACAGAGTAAAATAGCGTTTGAACTGTTAATACCTTCTCCACTGATGCATGGCCTTTTTTACCAAGGCTCTGCTTATATAATAATATAATAAAACGCCAAAAATAAATGAAATGGGAGAAAATGTGCTTGGCAAACATCTGTTTTTCATGCCATTATTCCTATTGAAAATAATCTCAAGCTATCTGTTTGAGCGATGGTAACAGAGCAGTTTATCTATGAACTGAATAAACTACTGCCAATCATCAAGCAAAACATATTGTACAGTTTTTCCATTGACTTCCACCCTCCAGGCAGAAATTGGTTTCCACCTATAACAGGATGTTAGAAAAAGATCTTGTTGACGTTTGTGTCATCTTTGCTGTTTTGAAAGTCTTTCCTGCCTGATGATGGAGAAACTTGTAGTAAACGTGCAGTTAAGAAAAACTCAACAATCCTTAACATTACTTCAAAAGAAGGTAATGGACGGCCATGTGCTAACTTGAGGAGGCACTGTAACCCACGTAAAAAATGCAGCATCCTTGTAAAATTAAAAGCATTTACTTTACTTTTTTCTTGATGTTATTTCAGTGTGGTAAAACCTGGGCACACATTCATATCTCTTGGCTCATTTCTACTGTATACTCTAAATCAGTGTGCTGGCACTGATATTAGGAGGCAGTGTGAGATCTAAATTTGATGCACTGCAGCAAACAGTCAGGGCAATTAGAAGCTGCTAGAAAACCCCGCAGGCCGTATAAATCCGTCAGAAAATATTCTTTCAAACTCTTACAGTGGAATCTGTGCTCGTCTTCGGCTCATCATCAGGACCACAATGGGCACTTTTTTGTCCTCTCCTCTCTGTAAATGAAACATAAAACATTTTGTTGTGTGTGTGTGTGTGTGTGTGTGTGTGTGTGTATATATACACATGAAAAAGACAGAGGAGGAGAGGTTTTGAAACACATTTAGTTACACAACACATCAATCTGCCCTAGACCTAGTATACAGAGAAAAGGTTTCTCAATGCCCCTCTCCTCATTAGAACGATATTCCACACCGAATATGGCTAATACAGCCGTCGTACGAACAACAACACAGCAGGAGAATGATATACAGTATAGTGAATGTAATGTCCAGAACATGGAAAATCATATTAATGTGTACACTAGAATCCCTCTTCTTTCACTGCAAGGTCACTGGCACAACACAAAGGCATCAGAATACACGCTTTCACACACACACACACACACACACACAGTCACGGTGTTCTACAGAATCTGAAATGGCTTAATACAGCTGTGCTGCTCTAAACCAGCTCTGGCCTGCGCTGGCCTCAGTTCAACATTCCTTCTGCTTTCTGGTTTGTCTACTGCCAAGAACACACTGCAAAAGGACAGGCTCTCAATCATAACATTCACACACACTCCAAGTGAACTACTGTAAATAGCCATATCTGATATCAGATATTTACCTCCAGGAAAATGCTGGCTTTTTAGGGGAGTAAAGCCTGAACCTGAGAGGAGGAGCGATGGGATCCATGTTGCTGAATATGACAAATATAAAGGACAACACTAAATTATATGTTGCTGTGATCATCTCATTTACATAGTCGTTTTGTTATAAAAGTGAGTTTTTTTTAAGCTCTTCTGTCAAGTGGAGTCAAAGTGATGTCTATGACAGGTGAAGAGAACACAAACACCAGAATCAATATTGACTTTCTTGTGCATCATTTCTGTTTATTTGTGGTTTATTTATTTTCATACTGTATTGAAAAATGACTTTGTTATGTTAAAGAGCTATATAAAAATTAATTTGCTTTATAATTCTTACCATTGTGCTTACTCCAGTGGTATTCTGGCGTGGAGCGCTCACCTCTCCCTGGTTATTTAGATATGGGAGTCAAGCACAAGTACATTTTGCTAAGCCCAGAAACATCTCTACAATCTTTATGACATACCCAGTTAAAAATACATAAAAACAAAACAAAAATATAAAAATAAAAATTTATTCTGGTTAGCACAACAGTCAATTTCAAAATATTGTTGTGCTTTACTGTGTAAATTCAAATACCGAAGCCTATTACCTGTTAATTGTGGCTCTGCTGCTGAAGCTCTGTCACAGTTTGGGTCTGTCACTTTCACAGTGCTGCCCTGGTACTTTCTCCTCATCAAAAGGCTACAGTGATGAGCCATGAACTGTTCTGTGGCCTCCTGGAGAACCTTGTGCATGTCACAGCTGTGACGGCAGGAGGTTTGAAGTGATGCAAAAGTGTGACTGGTCACTTCTTCAAAAGACAACACACAGCCTGAGGGAGAAAGAGACACAAGGAATTAACATAAGGCCCATTGTTGACTTCACACTGACCAGCTCAGTGTCCCAATAAAGCTCCAAGTATAAATAAAAGAGCAATTGTTTATATGGCCTAAGCTTGTCCAGTTCCAAGATACTTCAGTAAGCCCCTCAGCTCTCATCTGAAGCCGGGTGGTAGGGTGTTGTGGCTTAAGTACTGAGGTACATTCACCTTGTTACAAAAAGCAAAATAAGTGATGAAGATTCTCTGCACCAAAACTATCCCCATACCCTATAGCTGTAAAAAACTAATTCAGGTTTATTCTTCAAAACAAAATCATTTCAAACAGTACCGAAAGAAGCCAGCAGAATAAAGGCATCAAGTGTGTTTGAACTCTTAACAGACATTTATTGAAGCCAAGATAGAAAGCATTTCTCTGAGGGGCAGTTTAAGGCTCTTCTACCTGCACACCGGGTATGAGACAGTGGCTGTTCCTCCACTGGGATTTTCCCCACCGCACTCACCTCACTGTCCTGTAACTCTAAACATAAAACCATATTATGTAAAAAAAAATGCAGCATAAACCACACATCTATGGATGGATACAAAAATAAAAGCAAGGAAATAAGAGATATAAGACAAAGCTGTGATTCTTACCTTCTTCATTAGCACATTTAAATACACTGTGCCACACTGGTGCTGGAGGCTTAAACAAATGGCTAAACGAACAAACAAAAAGAGAAAAAAGTAACAAAGCAACCATTTCATTTGAGTGTTGCTGATAAATAACTAATAAAACACCGAGGAACTCTGTTAACCTGTCTGCTGTATGTGGCTCTCTGCCCCCCTCTAGTGACCAAACGTGAGATGACATTAGGGCTCCGGTGCCCCTGCATACTGAACACTGCATATCCTCTCCACTTGTTTTAGCCTTCACCTTCAAAGTGCTTAAACTGATTTTCTTCACCTGACTATCATTCTCCTTTGTGATCATGTTTCTGAAAGTATGAAGTTTACTGCTGTTGTCACCCTCTGCTTCTGCATGCTTAACAGTGCTGCTCTGGCTATATGTTATAGGGATAGTTTTGTGTGGAGGCACATTTCGGGCTGGAGGCAGAGATGACTGGCCTAGCCCTTCATTTGAAGTTGGTGGGTCTGTGTCTTCCAGCTCATCCTCAGCCTCCTAAAGATACAGTAATCATAAGCATACATCATGAGACACCAAGATGCTATACGTGCAGATTCTGTGATCCTATGTGTGAATACATGCCTGTCTCTTCTCTAGTGAGTCAATTCTGCGCAGGAGCACTCTGGCTGAGCTCCTGTATCTTTCCAGGTTTGTAAGGGCCTCTGGATTTTCACCCTCCAAGTCTCTTGCTGTCAGAGTGCGCACTCCAAAGGACACAGCTTCACAAACAAACAAATCATTACATTATAAGAAATCAATATTCCACATTAAATCTCAGATAAATTGAGAAAATCTACTGAACTCATTTAGGGTGAAACGTTTGGTGAAGCAAATGCAAACACTATGGTAATCGGCATAATCATCACAGACCCTGGTCTTTACTACTGAGCTACCATAGTATTTGTCTTTCTTCTTTAATATGCAAGAATAAGAGGGCTCATTTAAATTACTTAAAGTTAAATGATCATTCGCTCAGTATACTAGAAAATGAAGGAAGAAAGTACATTTTTGGAAATAGTGCAAATAAAGAAGCTTTATTACATGCTAACTAAGAGGGCCACAAAAGCCCTTTTTACATTGCTCATTCAATGTGGGAGTTTTCTGGCTTGCCATTCTATGTGAAAGGTACAATGCCGGCATGGGGGGGTGGGGGGGTGTCTCATTGATGCCCCAAAATACTGCAATGAGAGGTAGTACTTTTGCAAAGACGAATTTGCCCCACCACCTTTATAGACGGGACACGGCAGAATGGGGTAGCAACCTATTTCTAATGACATGGTTCTGGTAAGTTAAAAGGTGTATGCTATGCAATTTAGAGTCCCATCCTAAATGATTAAACTACAATGACTGTGAAATGAACAGAACAGTTACATTAAGATGTGAACAAAACAACTCTGACTTACTGGCCTGTTTGCAGGTCTGCAATATGAATGTAGCAGCTTTCCTGACATCCTCACTAGTGTCCTCTGTGAGTAAAGTTATGATAAGGGGCAGGCCACCACACTGCACCAACTGTGACTGGTGCTCCCCTACACACAGGAAGAAACACAAAGTTGTTGTTTGGACAGTATAAATAATCAAGTTGCACTCCCAAGAGAAGAAAGTCTGTTAACCTGAAAGTCATGAAATTATAGGAAAAAAATGAAGTGGAAACACATGATGGTACTACCATGAAATATTACATACAAACAGCACACTTCCGTGCACTCTTACCAGACGCCTCAGTGCAGTGGCTCAGGGTAAGTAAAAGCGAGAGCCTGTCCTCACTATCCAGGTTTGGGCTAGCCAGCAGGGAGAAGAGATGGGACACTATGCCATACTGAGCCAGCCTTGAAGCCAGAGCAACTAAAAAGAATGGAATGTCAATGTAGAACGAAATTATTTGGTTGTGTCTGTGAAGTGTTAATGTGCACGTGTTCATTTGTGACAGCAATACATACAGTTATCAGCAATACAAGCTGACAGGGTCTTGGATAAAATGACACAAAGCTGGCAAGACCACACGCTGTGATCTACTGCTGAAGCTAGACGAACAAGTGCAAGAGTGAGCGTTTCCAAACCTCCTGAGGCAGAAAAACTCTCCTGAACAGAGGCTGCAAAAAATAAAGTCATTTATTATATGTATATTAGCATCAATCTGGATTTTAAATAATCATTAAAAAAATAAATAAATAAATCACAGGTTTGGCACAAGCCATTCAGCCACTTTCACTTACCATTGTTTGCAACTGCCATTGCTATGAAGGAACATATTGGCTGAAAAATCTCTGTGCGTGGCAGAGCCATCTGCTGAAGCCAAATTTTTAATATAGGAAAGGCTGTCACACAAATACGCTGACCCTCCTCTTAAAGACAAAAGAGAAACATAATTGAGTTTGACTTTAAAATAGTTGCAACGATGACAAGAGCATCAATATTTTATATACTAACTTCACAGTACAAGGCACAAATACATATACATAGATGACATTACCATTCTGAGGATTGTTGACACATCCACAGAGAGCACTAGATACAGATGTCCAGAGTTGGTGGGTTTGCGTTGCAGTAGCTAATCTCAGAGTAGTGTCTCTGGAGGTGGGGAAAGTGGTCCTGCAACAATACATACAATAAAACCTATGTGCTTTTATAAGAGGGTAATTTTTAAATGCTAAAGCTCAACAAGACAGAAATTCATGAACCATAAAACTGAAAGATAATTGCATAATGATACGTCTGTGCAGCACTTTCCCATAGTGGCTATATGAAATTTTATAGAACTGAAAAGTACCTGAAGAGGTGCAGTAGAATATCCAGACAGCTAGTGGTTTGGGCTAAAATCTGTCCTAATTCTGAAAAAGCAATCAAACACATGATGGCTACAACAATCTGCATAACAAACACATGATCCTACTCTCACAAATTTGATATTAAATGTAAATTTTTTTCCAACTACATTTTGCTGCACAGATATGAAATGGCTTCCATGAGCTTAAAACTAAACCATAAATGTCTTGTAGAGTAATAGAAAAAAAAAAATATCTAGATCCTGTAGCTTTAACTCATTATGTCAGTTAAAGAGCCTTTATCTTACTGTTGTTGGCTACCAATACAGACAGCAAATAGACAGACACTCTCTTATGTGTCAATGGAATGCCTTCTTTCATCAACGACCCAGCAAGGCCCGCAAATGTCTCTTTTCTGCACAGAGAATTCTTGCAATACACTACAAGAAGGAAAGATAAATAGCACATCATTAATATAAAGAACTACAATTTACTCTAATCTTGTAATTATAAATGCACCAATACTGATATTATACACATCTCACACTACACAGGTATGCTGTACACTTGTCAAATAGAACAAACTAGGGTACAAACTATAAGCTACATTTCATTTCACAAGTCTGATGCCCACATTTTAAATCTGAATATGTCATAACGGGTCATCATGGGGCAACAACACTGTCCAATGCGTGCCCTTTGTAGTTTCCGGTATCCCACAAGCTACAGAAAATGAATCATAGAACATAGTACAGTGTTTGCCAGTAACCCATTATGTGTTCCAGCATGTTTACCTCCTACATTATCCACTTTGCCAGCTGTTTAAGGGGAACTTCCTCAATATAAATCTGGAAAGTTTTAGCTTTACACATTATCAAGTGTCATCCACATTCATGCAAGGTTTCAAAATGTTGCAAAGGACACAACTTCTCAAACTGGATACTTTGTAAGATGCACCACTGAATTGGGATTTAGCAGCTATCAAACCTACCATTTGCCTCTGCCAGGGTCCCCAGTGTAAAGAGTGCAGTCTCCTTGACATCTGAATGTACAATACTGGACTTGGAGAGGTTATACACAAATGCCACGCCTCCCATTTCTCTCAGCAAGTCCACATTATCCTCTGGAAAAAAAAGAAGAAAATTTAAAATTAAAACAGACAGTGGAAAGGTATCTTGTTAGGATGTTTTGCTGATTACATAAACATATCACAGACTTTGCTGACTATTTGTTAGCAAGCAGTGTGCCTATCCTAACAACCAACTGATGGAGCTAGTTAGGGTCAAAGAGGCAGCATGTTTCTGTCATTGGTCATACACTTACCTCTCTTGTCACAGATTGACTGAATGGTAAGAAGAGCTTGTTTCTGTAAATCAGGACATTTCATCTGAAACTTCAAACATTCAAGCAGCAAACTGAGATCTGTCTTTATGGCTGAAAGAAGAACAATGCAATCAATTGGTAACCAGACTGATATAGCATTACATTTATAACTGTGATGTTGCATTAGTTAACAACTTATCTGTCTACAAACACAAAGTTCACTAAATGTGCACATACAGAGTAAACTTGCAAATGTCACTTACTATTACGGCTGTTGCCTGTCTTATCCATTTCACTCTTTATCTACTGTAAATGACTCAGTAGTTTAACAGCCATTAGAATCCGTTAGTCACCCAAGTAACAATATGGCTAACTACTGAAAGAATATCATAGGTTATTTACGTCCATCCAGTCTAGCGTTATCCAGTGCTAACACTAAGAAATGTTATTTTCAGAACAGGGTAGTTAGCTAACCTAGCTAACAATATTCAAGCTGTTAACTTCGGCTAAGCCTGCCACACTTTTAAAGTACAATTCTCAAATGTCCACAGTTACATTAATCCTAAATTGTCACTGAACAAATATTAGACTAAGTTATGGTGACACAACATTTCATGACCAATTTTAAAGGTTGCATTTGTCTCCGAATCATAATTAACGTTACCGCGTTAATGTTATAGCGCTTCGCATTACCATAAAAAGCAAACACTGCGTGCCTATTAACGTTAGCTACTGTAATTTTACAGCTGGCCCTATCTTGTATTAAAGATTGGGCAGTTGACAGCATTGAAATATTAGCATATGTGAACATTATTTACTGTGACTGAGCGTAAACACAAAAGAAAAAACTGTGTTATGTAGTTTTTATGATTTTGAGGGAGCTATTCCAATTGTTTTGGAGCATATACTGTAACTTATTAGCTAGATAACAGGTAACTAGATAACGTTAGATGAAAAACTCGTAGCAATGTTCTCTATGTATCCACCTAACAAACAAATATTTAATCTGAGAAAGAACAAAACTTAAAATTAGTTTGAAGCCTAAATATAATTCTAAAACGCAATTATTCTGTACGCCACGTTACATTAGAGAGCAGGGTGTCTCAAACAAAGATCGTCTATTTATATTTCCCTTTCCTCCCAAATGCAACCACAAAGAACTACAACACCTTTTTCTTTTTTTTTAATTCTTTCGGCTCTATTGTCGTTCCACACTCCAGCACAGCAGGTGGCGATAATGCATCTTAGGTTGCTTGCAATCCGCCAATAAACATCATAGGAAGAAGAGGGAGAAGGGAAAAGAAGTACAACAGTGCGTGATAGCAATGTCAGCTGTTGTGGTAGACTAAACATATTCACTACATAAGTATGTGTAGGTGTTTGATATCGGATATGTTAAATGTTAAAGGAGCTAGTAGCAAGCTAATTTTAGTTACCTTTAGTTAACTACTGTGCTAGCATAGTAGTTAACTGTTAACTCGATGCTATGTAGCTAGCTTGTTTCAATCTATTAACGCAACGGAAATGCCATAAGGTGATGTATGTTGCTTGATTTTGGCTTATAGAACTTTAATTATGGTGTTTTGAAAGTAACTTAGACAACATCTAGCTTATCTGTTAAACTTAATGGTACGCTGCTTATTGATTGTCAGGTGTCTTCACAAAATCGTCATTATAAATACCATAACGTTATTGGTTTCCTTTTTTTCCTTGACAAAGCAATCGGGGTGTTTAAGCCGCACACAACCAACTAACGTTAACAACGTTGCATAAAAGATGTCTGGACGTGTATACGCCAGCATCCTTGAGAGAGCTTCAAGCTACACATTGACACTTTCTTCTACTGCCCCACGCCAGGTTTGTGTCCTGATGGACTTGCTTAAGTCACACTATAGCGTTATGTGTTTATATTCAGCTTTACTTATGTTGTGACGCACTCTAATATTGTCATCGCTCTTTTTGTTCATTCAGTATGCCCACCTTGCAGCATTTCTCTCTTCTCGGCCTCGACCAGCCCATCATTGTCATTTGTCATCCTGGAGTACCTTCAGATCAGACCGGTTGTGCTGTAGTGGTGAGAAGTCAGTGAACTGGTCTCAAAGCGGGCGCCACTTCTCAGCTCGTCAGGATCTGGACTTTCAGCTCAGCTGGGTCCAAATCAATAGTATTCTGCGTTCTAATGAGCAGGTAATATCACCATATCATAAATGACAAATTTGCTGAAGGAGTTTTACAATCTTTACAACATATGACATCCTCTGTCCTTAGACCCTTAATGAGTATGAGAAAGTATGTAGGACACAACGAAGGAATATGTTTTGGAAGAATGATGTTTCCTCCCTCTAAGAGAGCAGCACTGAAGCTGTTCTGGAGACACTTTACTGAAAAGTGTATGCGTATGCTTTATGTTAATTTGTCACACATTTATATCAGAGATCCTCTTCAGGATGAGGAAGAAATTGGTACAATCCAAAAAGATATACTGTATTAAAACATACAGTGGATAAGCATGTTACTAAGATAGAAACGGTGAAAAAATGTAATGTGCATCTCTGTTTCAGTCTGTGAGTTTGCCAGAGTTTGATGGCAGGGAACTCAGTGCTGTTAGAAAGTTTGAGAGTAACCACCTAGCTGCCAACACACCTCATGAGGATCGTCGCAGTACAGCCACCTGCTTACAGGTATGCATTTTCTCCCCTGTCTGTACAGCTGTCTTTCTACTTATAACATTTTATTTAGTTTTCACTATCTCCTCTAGTCAAAGGGCATGCTCTTTGGAGTATTTGATGGCCATGGGGGTTGGGCGTGTGCCCAGGCTGTCAGTGAGCGGCTGCTGAACTACATAGCTGTTGCAATGATGCCAAAGCATAGTCTGGAGGAGCTTGAGGAGTGTATGGAGCATGAGAGACCTGTACCTCCCATCTTGCAGTGGTATAAACACCACACAGACTTCAGTGTTCATCGTAAATTTGCTTCGCTCTACCTTGATCACCTCAGAGTCTTCTGGCAAGAATTACTTGACACTGAGGAACATGGCGAAGGCATGAGGTAAGTATTTACACGTCAGTATACATGTATCTACATATGATAAGTTTTGATTTTACACCATCATCTCCCCATCTTTTAGTCCTTCAGATGCTCTGAGTTGTGCTTTTAAACGGCTTGACACCGACATCTCCTTGGAGGCCCAAGTCCCTCTATCCACTGACCTAATGAAAAGCACAGCCGTTCAGGTAATAAGACAAACATTCCTTTGCTGCTTTGGTGTTTTCAAGGTCGCACAATGTTAACAGACATACATCTCTCTCTGTCCAGGTTGCGTTTGCTGGTTGCACTGCTTGTGTGGCCCACATTGGCACAGATGGGATCCACATAGCGAATGCTGGTGACTGCCGAGCAGTATTGGGGGTACAGCAGGAGGATGGCTCATGGAGCGCTTTACCTCTTTCCCAGGACCACAACTCACAGAACCAGGCTGAGGTAGAGCGGATCAAAGCCCAGCACCCACCTTCAGAGAGAGAGACAGTGGTCACAGATGACAGACTGCTTGGGGTGAGAGGTCTTCATTACACAACACTTAACAGGCACTGCACAATGAGCGGACAGCTTTGTTTAGGAAATAAGTCACCAGTTGTATCCTCTAATTGTGCCGTCAGGTTTTGATGCCCTTGCGTGCGTTCGGTGATGTGGGATTCAAGTGGAGCCGTGAGTTGCAGCAGAGCATTACAACAAGCCTGGAATCTGCAGTGGAACTTGACTCACTCAACCTGTACCACTTCAATCCACCTAACTACCTAACTCCACCCTACCTGGATGTGACACCTGAGATAACCTATCACAAACTCAGACCCCAGGACCGTTTCCTGATTCTTGCCACTGATGGGCTGTGGGATGAACTATGCAGCGAAGAGGCCGTCCGACTCATTGGAGAGCACCTGAGTGGGATTCATCTAGAGGTTTGTGTGTGGAATGAATGCTACATTGTTGTCCTGACTCACAGCAAGCTACTTAATATGGTAACGTAAAAATGGTTTCTGACTTTAGTTCTGTTTTTCAAGGCTCCAGTTTCTCCATCTGAGAAACGGCTCAAATTGGGTCAGATGCATGAGCTCTTGCTGAAACGACGAGCCCGTGCCTCCCCAGCCCTAGACACCAATGCCGCCACACATGTCATCAGACATGCTCTCGGCACAGGGGAGAATGGAGAACTCTGCCAGGAGAGATTGGCCTCTATGCTCGCTCTGCCAGAGGACCTGGCCCGAATGTACAGGGATGACATCACAGTTACTGTGGTGTATCTAAACTCTGACCTGGCCAGACATAATCACAGCTGACAGCAGGGTTTTTTTTCCACTGGACTTTGAGATAAAAAAAATAAAAAAAAATCATAACAATCAGCTCTGTTCAAATTGTAGTCAACACTCCACCCAAGCTGTCATTTGGACACGTAGGTGGTAATCATTACACCTGTCACATAAATTAATTTTAATTTTTCAAAATGATGGCAGTTTTCTCAATGTTGAATTGTGTACAGTTTTTTTTAAAAACAAATGTACAAATCTTCCATAGATTTATATATATATTTGTAATTATAGTATTTATCAGGTAAAAATTTTGTATAGAAGATCTTTGATACTTTATTTTATTCACAATGCATGGCAGAAGTGGAAATTGGGGGGAAATAAAAGTTTAGAGAATAATGCACACACTCAACCTCGTTCCTTGTCTCAGTTTTTGATTCTATTTTTTTCCCCACAGTTTACTTAAGACGGTTCATCTGTGAGTTTTTACCCATTTATGTCTGAAGTAAACTGAAGTGAAGCATTTAATTTTGCATTACAGTAAATGATTGCTAGATGTATTTGCTGTAAATTAACATTACCATCACTGGATGGTGCAGGTGCTTCATATTAAAGAGTGGATACATTATTTTGTTTTGTCTATGTATTAAATCACAGAGATAAAATGTAAAGATGGTGAAGTCTAAAACTGTGTGGGGAAACAGAGTTTAACAATAGAACTGTGCTAACATACTCATTGCTGAGTGTCCTGGTAGCCATTCTGATTCTCAGGTGTTTAGTAAACATGCATGCTGTCCCCTGTGAATACATTCAGCCCTAACAGTTTGCTCCTGCAAATAAAACTGAAGAGAGAGAGAGCAGGTAATCAAGTCGGGACAAGAAATATCATCTCAGCCTGTCTGCAGAATGAAACCAGTTCTCTTACACCACATTAAACTTTGCCTACAAGCCAGTAAGCGCTTTAGTTATGACCAGTGATCTCCCTGAATCACTTCCTCAAGAGCGGACTTTAACCATTCATTATCAGCCACCTCAAGTGAACCTTGACCCTGTGGATGTACTGTACTAGACTCCCGAGTAATAGCAGCTGTTTTAATGTTTCTTATTTTAGTTAAATGACAGTCTGTTGATATGAGGGCCTGTGGATAAAGCTTTACAACACCTGCAGGAAGGTAGGTGGGCATATAGACTGAAATCAAGCGAGATATGAGGTGTGTGTGTGGATCATTATTTGTATGTTGGAGTAATATATTGATTGAACATTTTCAACGTCCGTTTGGTTTTCCTTCAAGTTACCATTTTTGCCCCACAACAGATGAGGCAGAACATGTTCCAGGAGGGGCTCTACCATGTGTTTTTTAAGGAGACACCCTCACCCCACCCACTGACCCAGGTTACCAATCAAGTAGAGCTAAACAATGCCAGGATACATCGTTGGTTTGGAGCTGTGGTTAATACCAGACTCTTAGTCACTGGGGTGAGATGCTACAATCGTGTGCTTGTCCGTACTATGGGCTAAACCATTAAACGAGCTGCCTGCTTCATACCATGTCTTTCCCCTCAGGTGGTTCAAGTCCTCAGTGGCTTAGCTTGCATATTAACCACAGTCACCCATGCATGTGTGAGCTACAACTGTTCTGTCTCCATGACAGCACCAGTGTGGTCAAGCCTGCTTGTGAGTCCACATCTGCCTCGGTTGATACACACTCTACTGTGCAAATGTTTAAGTCAGAAACAAAATTAAAACCTGCGTCATGACCGTTTATGTTGTTATAGTATGTGGCCTCTGGTTTTCTGGCAATGGAGGTTCAGAGGAAAGCTAATAAAATAAAGGTAGTATCTTGTTTAAGAATTTTCTTATGCAACTTTTTTTTTTTGCTTATGCTATTAACCACCTCACATACGTTTGTATTAACAATAAACAGATCATCACCCTGATGGGTCTGAACATTTTCAGTCTGCTATTTGGATTTTCTGCTCTCCTGGCCAACAGCTTCTGGTCCACACAGCCTGTGATACTTGCCACTAACCAACAGGTAATGCTGTAGTACTAGAAATACGTTTTGATCTGTGTTTACAACACTGCAATTCTATAAGAGCTTTTTGTGTTTAAGGTTTCGTTATGCCTACAGTACATATCCAGAGAGCGGAAGTCTAGCTGTTGTAAAAGCACATGTAACCTTTCCTCAGTCTCACACTTTCCTTCCCCCTCCTCACCAGCGTGCTGGCTCATATGTTGCAAAGGGGAGCTCCATAGCATTTACTGTACAGTGTTCTCTGGCTTCAATCTACATACTTTTTCTGTCCTGGAGGGGCCTGCGTCGCTACAGTCCTCCCTACATTCAGGCCTACAGCCGAGTCTCACAGGTAATTATAATATGATAAGATACACAGAATCAAGAAAAACATGTTCAGTTTTCAGTCTGGATAGTAGATTGTAGAGTTAAATGTGTTTTTTTTTTTTTGCTCTTATTTTGGCAGGATCCCGATGAAACCAATGGGCCGCTGCTGGAACAAGGGGAATTTAGTCTGTAAATCACAAAAATCTAAACGCTAAATGTTCTAGACACACTCCTCTTTGCAGAGCTTTTGTAAACTATGTTACTGTTATTAACCAGACTATATGAACTGCTTGCACAATTCTGATTTAAGAACATTTGAGAATTTATTTCATATCTCCTGACTGACTCAGTATCACTTCTCCTTTGTGATTCTCAAAAACATGAAATTCACTTGTCCCATTTCACCCAAGCAAAGAAGCGCATCAGCTAACTTAAAAGCCACAGAAGTGAACTTCATGTTAAACACATAATGGTGTCTATAGAGGACCACAATGACTTACAAAAGTGCAATTTGTTATTAAAGTTTAATGCCAATTTCACTATTGTAGAAGGTTGTAGTACAATAAATATGATACAGCAAATCAGTCACATGTTTAAAAATCTATTGTGCAGGTTTGTTGATAAAACAAAGCTATATAAATTTAGCAGAACTTTGTGAAAACTGAAATTACAGCTATCATCAGTCTCCATCCTAATTTTCTCAGACAGTGCCAATGCCGTCTGTCCAACACTAGAGGGCAGCACTGCCATAGGTTTTCCTTGATTATGGCATTAATCACGTGCTTGCCCATTGTTAACTCAGGATCAATCACACTTTTTAAAATCTGTTCAAAAAGTAACTAAGTACATTTACTCAAGTATTGTCCTTAAGCACACTTTTGAGGTATCTGTACTTTGCTTATTTTCATCTTGTTACTTCATACTTTGGCTCCACTACATTTTAGACGCAACTATTGTAATTTTTACTCCACATTTATTTTAGAACTTTACTAGTTAGTTTTATAATCATAAGATCTCATTGATCTGTGGTGAAAATTCACAAGCTACCTGCAATAATTCATAATAAATGCATATAAGCCAGTTAAAACTAGCTTTCACTTTACCAGCTGCAACGTTAAATGTGATTTACACAACGATGCATCAGTAATTATAATACAATAATATGATATACAGGAATGTGAAATGTGCCATTCTGCATACTGAGTACTTTTACTTTTAGTACTTCAAGTATGTTATGATGCTAATACTTTTACTTAAGTAACATTTTGAATGCAGGACTTTTACTTGTAACAAAGTATTTTTACACTGTTGTATTGCTACTGTTACTTGAGGATCTGAGTACTAAAGTGTACCTTAAAGGTAACTGTGACTACTGGGAGAAGTCCAGTAGTGTCCGGTTGTCTTCCTCCACTTTAGCCTTCTCATCTTCATATCGTCTTGGTTACAGTGATGGCTGTCGAAGGAAAGCCATATGTGTAGTCTTTAGATACGATGCAAATGATTTCAAACAGACCCTCGACCTCCACAGTGTTAATAGGCCTGCGAGCTGTAGCCACCCATTGACCTATCACTGTTGAAGGTTTGTTGCTTGTCCAGGTGTCTCCTTTGTGTCTCCTTTGTGTCTCCTGTGTTCCTGGCCAGCTAGTGGACGCACTCCGGTGGTAACTCAGTTCACATCGACTGTAAATACAAATAACTCTGGTCTTATCAAGAGAACCATACGGCAGGGGGTTAAAGCTGAACTTGGCAGCCTAAAGACCCTTTTCTTTATCAATTTCCGCTTCCCGATTTCCCAAACAATGGGGAGGGCCGAGGGCCAATCAACGAATGTGTGTGCGATAATCGCGCGTCAAAAAATTTGTGGGATAGAGGAATTTGCACTGACTCGCTATTATCGCGTTAACTTGGACAGCCCTAAAGAATAGTCTATTAAATTATTTTGTTTCATGTTACAGACATGACCTTTGAACGAGTGATGCCTATTTTTGTGCGAGAACAGTATGATCTGTTGAATGTGGAATAAGTGCTATCATAATTAACAGTTTTAATCTAATGATCACTGAGGTAAATAGATGTTCTTATTCGGTAAGTTGGAACTGATCTCTTTAAGTCTTGTACTGATCCAAATGTCCAGAGCACATTTTCACTGAGCTAAATTGGAGTGTGAATGTCTCACTTTAACTGGAACCTTTATCCTAACTTAACCTAGAATTAACACTTATTCCTTAACTTAATCCTCAAAGTCATAAGTCACAAGACATAAAATAATGTGATAATATTGCAAAAATGTCTTCATTTTCATTGTCTTAAACTAAAACTGGTCCTTATAAAGATACATTTTCAATAGTACGCAGTACACAGTGAAGAGTGTGTGGTGTGTTCGACTGTTTAAATGATGGAGGATTTCATTAAGAATATAAAGCGAGGCTATACACCTCTCCTATAGCACACACTCACTCACACAGACTTGTACAAGTGAACAAACTCACATAGCAGCTAGTTTCTCATGGCATGTCTGGCTAACCGCTTCCAGCTGTTGCCTGGTTGGAAAGCCACTATGGGAACATACCAAATACAAAGAAAAACACAGGACTCATTAATAAACTGACACCGAAGAATAATATAAGAAAGCAGGATGGTGAGGCTGGGTATCGTCACAGAAAGTGGCAACAGATATCTCTGATAGAAACCATGTTTTTGTGTGGTAAAGTATCACAGCTACTGTTTGTGTGTGTGCATTTGTAAGATTTGTAGGTAGTGTTTCTTAAATGTACATGTTAGGTTGCACACACAGTCCATTTGTTTAGATGTCAGCATCTCCTGCCCGTACACTCGAATGATTCATTTACACAAAGAAAAACTGTTCAGTGTGATCTGAGTTTGCAGCCAAGTGTGTGAGAGTGGCATTCAAATCAAAAATGAAAGGACAGGCGTATGCACATGCCTTTTTTATGAGTAGCCGTTTGATCTTGTCTTGCGCTGTTGTTTATCTTCCTTTTCACATATCCCCCTTCCCATCTCTTGGAGGGCCACAGTGTAAGAGGGAAGTGACTGAGGACTGGACGTGATGACTACATGTGGGAATTCCCTTTTATAAAGCTTGCTGCTTCTCTGACCTTTGAGCTGAATGGCCTGGAAGGATCTGATCTGAGCCAGCTGCGAGTGAATCAGCTTTTGTCGAAAACACAAACAAACAAACAAAAAAGGCATAATCTTGAGAACATTCATCAATAATTTATTTTTCTTACTCTCAAGAACCACCACAACTTCTCATCTTGAAAATTCATCATCAATTTCCAACGACACAGTTTTGAAAAATGTAAAGTTACTATACAAATTTTTAATAGAAAAAAAGAATAAATTAACTGTGGAACTTAGATTTTTTTAAAAACCAATTCCACATTTTTCTACAACACCTTTAATGTATTGTTACAGTTGAATCGAGTTTACATGCTCTATTGTCTGTAGGGGATGTGTTCTACTATTAAACTGTCTGTTAAAATAAGTTTCATTTTGCAGAACTGGCATTGAATTTATTGATAAAAATGAAGAAATGTCTAGCTCCTACGTGACAAAGCAGTAACTGGTCATTTTGTAGCACCTGTAAGGGTTATAACAATGTCAAAAACATAAAAATAAAGTAAAACAAAATAAAAAACAATACTGGTTCATATAAAATGGAAGATTGTTAAAACAATGAATGTGAATGTTAAAACCCCTGACAAAACCTTTCAGTGTCCCTCCGTACATACAGGAAAAGACTGATAAAGAGTTAGTTCATTTCTCTTGGAGTATTACAAAAACCTCAAACATTTCTATGGAGCACAGAAAATATGGTTTGTTTGGAACTACAGAGGGAAGGGACATCACACTTTATCATAGCTGGCTCAGAGGATGGAGATTACCACATGGTCAAATGAGACATTCTGGGAGTGGACGGCACTATAGAGCAAGACGAGCTGATGCTAGTTGAGAGGAATCGGATGCTGGACGTCTTTATTTGTTATTGGATCTGCACAGCTTGCATGGGCTTGTGCCGTTAGGACACAGAATCTGGGCAGACTTTCAGTACAAAAAGCAGAGCCAGACTTTAACAAACTATGAATTTCTAGTTGATTGTAATCAGGCAGCACTAGTTCCTATCCTGGGTAAAACCTGTCAACTCTGAACAGGCATATAGGAATAATTGGAGAACCAACAACACATGACAGCATGAGAGTATGCTGAACTTTCTTTGTCTAGAAAGAGACAGATTACAACAACTGACGTCAGTGCATAAAGGAAACAACACAATGAGGGACAGGGAAAGATGTGTACCATTCCTCCCATGCCATACAACTTGATATACCATTGTTTCAGACATAATGGTGGTATGAAAATGAAAAAAAAAAAAACTCAGCTTATTTACCTTGCTGGGATGTAGAATCAGTCATAATCTTGGTAAAATTAACATCTGATTAATGCAGATTTTGTGCAACTAAAAACAAATGGTAAACATTATTCTACCACCTACACATTTGACAGGGGGAGATGATAGAAACTGATTCAGGGGCAGCTAAAACATGCAGAGTTCTGCTTCCTTCATACAAAACCAGGTGTGCTTTTCTAACCCTGTTCTGAATCTCTGATTGTTGATTAGGATGTATGGGAAAGTAATTCCCTCCATTTTAAAAGATTAAAGAATTCTTTTCAGTTCTGGTTTCTGGTTATGGCTTCTCTTCTGCCCTGACAGTGGGGTATTAATTGTTATCAACCTGAAATTCATTTAACACCTTCTCTGTGATTCTAATTCCTTCTTATACACTTTGATACAATGCCTTATTAAAATGTTGAAAGTGGAAAATTAGAACCTACTAACAGTAACTCCAGCCCTCATTGACACCCTCATGTTGTGCTTTAAGACCAAAGTGACTGAACAATTCCCCCTGATATCGAATTATAAAGGAGTGTGTAGTGTCTTCTGGCTACTCTGGCTTGCTGCTGTTTTATAGCATGGCTATAGACCGTGTGAGTTTAGCAGTAGCTTGAGGGAGTTGGTGTTTCAGAATTACAGTACAAATGTAAAGCACCAACATATTTGGCACTGATATATTAGTAGTAATACGTGCCCATAAATGCAAGTGTTGTGACTGTCAGTGTGCAGTGAGTTCAGACTGTGTGTTCAGTCAGGATGCCCCTGTCATGCTGAAGTGATGGACAGGAAAATGAGAAAACATGATGCTGCAAAGGCATACACAGCATGGTGAGAACCAGCACAGAGCCGTGACCAAAAGACAAGAGGAGACACTAGTGATAAAAATAGTGATTCACTGTGGAGATTTAGCCTCAACCACAAGTAATGCCAACAGATTAGCCAACTATCGTTTACTTTGATGAAGATGACAAATATTAAAAGATGGAATGAAACGTTGCAGTAACTGTGACTGTATGCAGCCGCATTAACAAATGGTAGCCCAACCTGACCCCCCAGTGCTCTGGCTCAAGTACTGTTCACAGTCCAATATGTGGCCAAACAGTTATGGACAGAAATCTTGTAAAGACCAAAGACTTTAAATAAATACAGATAATGAAGTCACTGAAATAAGCATCGCTTAGTGCCAAACCCAACAAACACAACTCCACCTTCTCCCTATGATGCGCTAATGATCCTTTACTTCAAGCATCACAAGGGAGAAAACATGGCGCACTCTGGAGATTCAAACCAGTTCATACATGTGTACAATGTTTGTTATTGCTATAGTCCTTATCAATATTCCACAAAGTCCCAAAAACCATCCTGATATTGTCACTGTGAATTCACTATCAGTTGACTGACAGTCACTTTGCTGCAGTAGCACCAGCCAAGGGACCCTGGTGTGACCAGTCTATCCAGTACTCGTCTTTGGTTGTGGATTAAACTGAGAGGAACTGAATTTTTCATCCAAAAAGTTTGTTGATCCAGATTTTTTGAAAAGTCTGTTTCGTCTTCATTTTTATAAATACATAGGGAGAAACAAACAAACAAAAAAAGTCAAACACTGATGGAAATGATTAAATCCAACACAGTTCATTTGGGCAATGAGTTTTTAAATTGGTGGCTCAAAATCCAGCAGGTATCCTGTGATTGGCTGGCAGTGCACTGGAGTCAGTAAGATTAGGGGACCAAAGAGAAGTAATGAAACAAATTTTGAATGGCTGATATTGGCTTTGTTGAATTTGAGTTGTGTGTCAAACTTTTTTTGTGCTCTCTCTTTCCATTGCTTCTTCCCCTTTGCCCTGTTGCTCATGTGTTGCAGAAGGTGAATAAAGAACAGGCTCTGTGGTGCTGTAGGGCAACATTTCAGCAGCTGAGGGGCACTTCTCAGTCTGTCCTGCAAAATTAGCCTTTATCAGAGTGTGTCCAGCTGAGCTGTGACAGAAGGGGTGCAATACAGAGGTTGTGAGATGCATGGAGGGCAGGATTTAGAAAGGAAGGGGGCTCATGTCTAGTCTGCCAGTCTGGTCAGTACAGGACTTTTTGTAGGTCTTCGAGGATGAGGTTGTTGGTTGTTGATGGGTAGTAGTGAGGGACAGTGGAGAGGCAGTAGGAGAGGGCAATGTGTCTTTCCTGGGCCCCTATAGTAAGGTCTCAGACCAGGGTTCCAGGTTTGGCCTTGTCATGTCCGTACCACTGCACATCTGCCAGCTCTGAACACAGGGGGCTGCTCAGAAAACAGCTGTCGCTGAAAGACCTGTGCAGGAAGAGATACCAGGATCACATGACATCTCAAAACAGCTTTCTATTTCAAAAGGTACATTTATGAAACCTACTATCATAATTACTATCATCTACATGGTTTCAAGTGGTCATCTGCTCCTGAGATTGTTTCTTTGTTAAAGAATGTTCTCACTTAAAAGACATACAGCACATGGTTAAGTATTTCTATTAGTAAATCCTGTATAAGCCACAGTGTCAGTGTCACAGAGAGAACACAGAGCAGGGTGCATGCAGAGCTCAGATACAGATGTAGCCAGAGTAGGAGTACATGACACACATACCTCCACCATCAAAGAGTAAGAAATGATTGTCAGCCCCCCACAGTTGATGATATAAATAACTAGCAAACATGTTGCATAAGTTCATCATGCTTTTAGAGTAATGTTTGGACAGATTTCAACTATAAGTACACGTGGTACTGCTGTCACATTTTGCGCTTCAAGATTATTATCTTGTAAAATCTGCTTATGCTGCTGCTGCATCTTCCCAACAGTACACTTTAGATTTAGACAACTAGGAGGCCAAGACAACAGAAAGTACCTCTATGCATCAGAGCTGGGCTGAGGGGGAGACTGACAGACGTCCTCAGTAGAAGAGTTGTCTGCTGTACCTCTAAACCAGGAGAGAGGATACACACACAAGGAAAGGAAGGTTAGTATAGATAGAAAAAACAGACAGGAAAGAAATTACAATATTAGGTAATAAAATTGTTTTCAATAAGAATAAATCAATTAGAGGTTGTGAGAAATGACATGAAAAACAGAAAGAAAGTGAAGAAACAAAGAACAAAGGTGGAGTGAGTGAACCCGAAATGAATGACAAGCCAAGAGTGATATAATTTGACTGGAAGGAGGACAGGGTTTGAAATAGATGTTAACCCAAAACCACATTAGAATCACCCTTGATGATTATTTTAATAGTAAAAAACACATCAGCTGACACAGACAGAACAGACAGTCAAACCTTGTGACCTGTTAGAGGGAGCTTTTGGACAAAGACAGTGAAAATAGAGTCCAAGATGCTGTTTGCCCTAGGTTAAGGTTCTCAGCTTAAAATCTTGTCACCCTGTTCAGCTGCTTTTGTGTGTGGTGGTATGACTCTTACCCACTCTGCCAGCTGAGGATGTGTTGCGGGCTACAGGGGGGTGTGGGTGTGGCTGCATGTTCACTGGAGGGTGTCATACTCCTTTGGCTGTGAGGGGATGCAGCTAAGGGAAAAGCTGACAGTTAGTCAAAAATAAGATACAATGCATGCAGCATGAGACAAATGTGCTATATATATAATTTGCCATTGGCACTGCCAAAAATCATATAACACAAAAGTCTCACTGTTGTAGTAGGCAGTGCATCAATATCATAATGAAAAGGTCATGAGTTTGAGCCTCATAAGGGGAACTTTCCTTAGCAACAAAGTTTCAGTTATGCTTCACTTATGAAAATAAGGGGATGTGCACTCAAAGTCAGAAAGACCATTTGCCTGAGGGGCACTGACACATAAAAATCACATGATAGGAGAATAAAATGTACAAGGCTCGATAAAGCATTAGGCGGAGTTTCACTTATGCTTCACATATGGGAATAAGGGATGAGGACTCGAAGTTACAAAGACGTTTGCCTCATGGGTGCTGGCGCATGAAATCTAATAGAGTAGCAACACACACAAGCCTCGTTGGCGCAGTAGGCAGCGCGTCAGTCTCATAATCTGAAGGCCGTGAGTTCAAACCTCACACGAGGCATTTGGCTTTGTAAAAGAGCTTGAGTCTTTTTTTGGCTATGCGACTAGGAGGAGGTGGTGTCAGAGTCACAAAAACCAGTTGTGTCGGGGTGCTCCCACAGAAAACTATCAGCATAAGCAAGTCATGCTGGCGCAGCATGTCACCCTCATTTATTAAAGGTTGTAAATTTGATCCCCTTACAGGGCGCTTCATTTTGCAACAGAGTTTCAGTTATGCTTCACATAAGGGAATAAGGGATGAGGACTCGGAGTTACAAAGACCGTTTGCCTCATGGGTGCTGGCGCATGAAACGTAATATAGTAACAACATTTGGCTTTGTAAAGGATCTTGAGTCTTTCTTTTAATATGGGACTAGGAGGATGTGGGCTCAGAGTCACAAAAATCGGTTGCATCAGAGGTGCTTTCTAAAATGAACATTAATTGCTATAAACTTTTAATGAACAAAGTATTTGTTAAACTAAACATGGACAACCTAAGGCTTTTTTTCAATCACAGTGTTGATTGTCATTTAGGTTTTAATGTAAACAAATAAAGAAGACCCACCTGGCGAGCCCTTGGCGAGTGTTCCTACTCTACTTCCTCGGCCATGTACCAGAGTGCCTTGCTGTGAACCTGTCTCAGAGGAAGTGGACCCCGAACGTGAGTGACTCCTCTCCTTCAGGCTCCCTGAGGACCTTTGGTACCAGCACCGTAGTTCTTCAGACACTGCTGCCCTCCCACCTCCCCCTCCACCCTCTCGCCCCAGTGACGGAGTCCGTACAATCTGAGAGCGAGATGGTGTGAGTCTGCCAGTCCCCTCTCCTCCCTCCTCTCCCCCCCATGCCTCTTTGTAAAGTCCCCCAGCCGTGTAGGAGCTGGAGGTCTTGAACTGGGCCTTCACACTGTAGTGGCCCTCCTGATCGCTCTCCAGGCTGCGAACCACCACGGGGTTGGGGCTGCCCTCCACATATAGTGGGTACTCCTTGATGCGGTATTGGGAGGAGGGCTGGCTCTGGCTGTGAAGGTAAACGCCATGGTGTCCCCCTCCCATCCCAGCTCCTCCTGAGCCTCCACCAGAGCCATTCTTAGCTGCCAGGTTTGGCATGGAGCCAGAGTTAGAGGAACCCAGGTGACCTGCAGACCTGAAGAAAGAACATGGAACACTATAAAGCTCAGAGAACCTTTATTTCTTTATAGATATTATAAAGGAGCTGTGTCTTCCTTTGCATCTTCCCCACCCTTACCTGTGCCTTTGCCTTTGCCTCTGCCTGGCTTTAGAGGGCGAGTCTTCTCCCAGAGTAGAGTAGTTGGGATTGCTACCAGGGGGTCCACCAGAGGGGTAGTAATGCTCTGAGCTGCTTTGGCTGGTGCAGGATGAGCAGTCATCCAGTGGGTCAGAACCATTGGAGCTGCGCCCTGGTCCCAGGAAGAAGTCAGGGCTGCCTAGTGTTCCCAGGGTATGCGGGTGTACGTCAGGGTCAGGAGCTAACAGCTTGCCCTGGGACTCAAGGCTGGAGCTCCGGTTTCTAAAGTGCTGAGCGAGACTGTGCAGACGTGTGGGACTGATGTCCACTGACCTGTAAAATAAAGAATCACAAGAAAAGATCAACGTATGTGCTGAGCTGCAAAGGAAACACATAATTAACTGTAATTTTAATAGTGATTTATTTTACAATAAAACAACTTTAACATTCTACACATGGTACCTGGATATGGGCGTTTTAAAGACTTGTCATTATTGGGCACAGTTATATAATCTGTTATGCTGACCAGAGCGATATGGGGTTTGACTAACCATTGAACAACTGATGGTTTAATGACTGACCTAGTGGAATGTACATAGTGTGGGGTCCTGGTCCTCAGGTCCGGGGTCGATGGCATGCTGGACTGAGAATTCCACTGAGGGAGGTTCCTGATGGGGCTGTTCTGCAGTGAGTTACTACCTCCTGCTTCTGCACTGCCAGAGCTTGGGAAACGCCTGTGACTTCACAAGGGTGCAATAAATGCATAATTTATTCATCCATCCAGGTGAGATTGGGCACAAGGAGAGGTACACCCTGGACAGGTCACCAGTCTATCACTCACTGACACTCACACTCACTCCTACAGGCAATTTAGAGTCACCTGTCAACCTAATCTGCATGTCTTTTGAAGGAAGCCAGAGTACCCCAGGATGCAAACTCTGCACAGAAAGACCCCAGGTCGACTAGGGTTAAAACCTGGAACCTTCTTGCTGCTGACACTCACACTCACTCCTACAGGCAATTTAGAGTCACCTGTCAACCTAATCTGCATGTCTTTTGAAGGAAGCCAGAGTACCCCAGGATGCAAACTCTGCACAGAAAGACCCCAGGTCGACTAGGGTTAAAACCTGGAACCTTCTTGCTGTGATGCAACAGTGCTAACTACTCTGCCACCATGCTGCCCTATAAAATATAAGGTGTGTGTGTGTGTGTGTGTGTGTGTGTGTGTGTGTATACATATATATATATTGTCTGTATATAAACACACACACCCCTTTAACATAGGCGCAATCAGCCTGCATTTGAGACATCCATGTAATACTGCTGTCACTCTTTGTGACTTCTCTGTAATTGTAGTTCTACACACATTACTGCAAATTTTACTGTTACATTTTTCATGACTAAACTATATCTTTATTGTGCTTGTTGTTGCTTAACAGTTGACAAAACCAATTATGGCCAGCTTCACACATATATGTCAATATACCATTGCTCAATTATAAAAGGCTAGTTAAGATTAACTTCCTCATACCTGGAGTGAGAGGATCGTTTCTTGACTTTTTCATAGGGCTCATCTAGTGAAGATTCACTCCACATCTTGGGTTTGATGGGTGATTTATCATAGTCTGAGCGTGTGTAGTGCAGGTGTCGCAGGCCATCCAAGGACTGCGGTGGAGGCGGTCGACTGTGAGATGGTGGCCGTGGAGGAAGGCCCTTATGAGGCGATGCGACTGGTGAGAAGGTGGGGGTACCTGTAACCTGAGGATCATCTGAAATTAAAATAAAATCAAGAATTAAAGATAGAGTAAATTTAATTTGACCATTATCATGAGCTACACAGAGAGCACAAAATATCAGTGAGATATTGCTCAGATATCTGGGAATAATGTGAATGACTGAGGCTCACCATCATCCAAGACCAGTGCATCAGACAGTGAGCTGTCTTCAGAACCAATATTGGCTTCTGTATGTCAAAAAAACAAAACCAAGAGATTGGAGATTGTACAAAGGTTTACAAATCTTTTGTTGTATAAACAAGCACCATGTTGGATCTTGTCACCCCCACTATCCAAAGTGTAGACTTCTTTTGCCACTCTTAACAGTACCAGAAAGATACTGCTGTATGTGGTGGCAACTACAAATAATAGAATGAAAGACACTTGATAATAATTTGGATTTTCTGTAGTGAGTGGGAGTATATTGGTACCTTCTATTATAAGCGATGCCCTCTGTGTAGGCTTCTTGCCAGAGCGGACACGGTACTCATTGATTGAGTTCTCAATTTCCTGAAGCTTCTTCAGTGCATTCAGATAAGAAGTCTTCCTCTGTTTCTTCAGCTTCTTACTGTTCACGTGAGGATCGCTGGCAAGACGCCTGGCTGCCTCTGTAATCTGGGACTGAATGGCAAACTCCCGCTCCAACCGCTCCAGCTCCTCTTCCTAGGATAAGCGTACACACAAACACGAGTGCAAACTTTGAGCAACACAAAAAGCACAAAGATAATGGACTGACTTGCAGTTTTACCAACAGCATTCTATACACAGTCCAAGAACAACAAGACACAGTTTGCAGAGTGTAACTCTCCCATGCAACGTATTTAGTTTGACACAGACACGCAGCATTGCCAGAGAAAACACACTCAGGAAATAATTTATCTGTGCTGCAGCCCTGGATTTTCTCACTGCTGGATGGTCTCTGTTGAGACACTCTGTCACCCAATAATAACGCCTCTCCATCAATCCATTCTCTATACATCTCCTTAGATTTGGGGAGCCAGGGCTATTAGGTGAACCAAGTAAAACATACACCCTCAGGCTGCAAATGTACTGCATATTGAATATATATTTACTGCCCTGTGAAATGTGTAGATACATACTGGAATACTCAGTGTAGTATACTGCTGAATAGTATAGTATAGCAAAAATTGTGAATGTTTTTACATGTTGAAAAAAATTCCTGTGACACACACTGAGTACAGCCTTCGTGTAACATGTACCTTCATATATCAGAGCACACACATGATTATACTTGCCTCCAGACAGAAAGAATGGTGATGTACATGTTTGGGTTAGCTGACTTCTGAGGAATCCCTCTCGCTAACAGCTCTTTCACACCACTGCCAGAGCGGCTTCTGTTTCAGTGTGTAAGTTTAAGGTGTTCAGTTTAAATTAAGAAATGTCTTTCTGCTTGCAAGGCAGTTTTGTGATATTGTGTCCCTGGATTCTTTTCAAAGCATACAACCTCAGCAACACACACCCACAGACAGCACATGTCTGCACACATCGACGCAAACACAATCCTACTATCACCACTTCCTGTGGTGATAGGGATGCTGCCAGGCTATTTTTAGTTCTGCTGCTCAGGAAAAGCTACCCACAGCACAGAAAGACAGCATGACAAAGAGGCAGTATAACTACATTACAAGGTCCAAGACATGGTTTTTCAATGTTATCAGTTTCCTTTGCTTACTTAAAGGTGTAGTGTGCAAGATCTAGAAGGATTTATTAGAAGAAATGGGCTATAGTATGCTTAATTATGTTCTTATTGATGTGTAATCACCAGAAAATGAGTCTAGTTGTGTTTTCTTTAACTTAGAATGAGCCTTTTATATCTACATCGGAGCGGGTTCCCTATCATGGAAGCCACCATGTTGAGCCACCATGTTTTTTACAGTAGCCCAGAATGGACAAACCACACACTGGCTCTAGATTGCGAATTTCATGTTTTCACATTTGGAGTAATGATTTGTAGATGCTTGGAAGACAACGAAGAAGTAGCATTAAAAGAGGATGCACTGTCATGAGTTTAAAAACTATAATTTGAAGAAATTGAGGAACATATACTTTGACACACAAGAAAAGGGAAGACAGCGTGAATTCCTGTTGTCAAAGAAGCAAAGACATGAAGAAACTGGACAGACGAGAGGTGTGGCATTTCCCAAATGTTAACCCTTGATGAGGGGCAAATGTTTCCAGAATGACGCCAATGTCGTCCCTTTTCTGCTGGACAGGTAATTTGGCCAAACAAGTACAGTTAGCCTAAATGCAAGTCTTTGTTTGATAATTGTTGTGACCCGGCTGTGACACAAGTATGAGAGCTTTGCTGAACGTTGCAATCTGCAACCTCACCGCTACCTCACTAAATCTCACACACTGCACCTTTAACAGAGACGTAGAGATCAGCTAAATTATCACAATGTCAATCATTTTACAATACATTTTGAGAATATTAGGTATATGGTTTTAAATGATGTTAATCCTGAACAACTTTTGATTTGCACTTAGTTGTTAAACACCAGTTACAAATAATGCCTATAGATGACCTTCACCTCTCCCTTAGGAAGAATTTTCTGCTCATCCAGTTTGAAGGCGGTACCAATCTTTCGTCTCACTATGGGTGGTTCCTCTCCTGGATCCAGAGGATATTCCTTAGGAAGCTTTCCTGTCAGCTCCTGGAAAATTCAAGGGAGGGGCAGAGAAATAATGTTAGAAAGGAAGAACTAGAAAGTATTTTGGTTTTCAAAATGTTTGCAGATTTTCTCATACCGCCTCTCTGATGCAGATACTCTTGAGTTCCTCCAGCCTCTGTCTTAGTGTTTCCTCCAGAGCTTCCTGCCTGGCCCTCAGTGCTGCCAGCATGTCCTTTTTAGCTGTCTGGGAGCTGTCTGATTCCTGAGAGCCTGTGGAGATAGACAACACGTAATGTGAGGGCAGGAGTCAGTCACATACAGTTTGTATGTGTTTGGAGTGGTGGGGACGTCTTCTGAGGCAGATTGTGGAGGGGAGGGAGAAATTGTAAGTGTACCTGTTAGCCTCACAGGATGTTTGCAGGAAAATGAATGGAACATTTCGATAAGGAAACTGAGGTTCAGTGGTGTGTTTGTGCGAGAATGTGACTTTTCAATGAAAGGGCAGTTTAGGACAAAGTGTGTGACGCACAATCTCCAAGGCCCTGAGACAGTGCCAGTCTTGTCTGCAACATGCCTTGTTGAATACTACACATACACTCTGTCACTCACACATTCTCTTATTCTCTGTTGATCTCTCACTGACCCTGTGCAGTCCATTGTGTGGCCAAATGTAGCAACAATACTGCTGAAACTGTTGTGACAGAATGAAACATTAAATGGCTCTTTATTGTTACAAAATACATTATATATAAGATCAGTGTTTCTACATCTACTGTTTTACAAACTTTAGCAACCTAACTAAGGGAGTTTTTCTTCCTCACTGTCAGCTCAAGGGGGATTGGTTGGGGTTTTCTCTATACTGATGCAAATAATAACATCTAGACCTTACTATGTAGTGTGCTGAGATGACTTTTGTTGTGAAATAAATCTGAATTGAATTGAATTGGATTTGAACTGTTCTAACCACTAAAATATATTCAGAATAGTGTCTTAACTGATGATGAACAGTCACACCATAATTTCCAGACTATAAGCCGCACCCACTAAATGTAAGACGAAAAAACATGTTGTACATAGCCGCAGGTGTCCACGTTGTAAACATGAGATATTTCGTCAGCCAGATCGATCGCCTGTAACTTGAAGTGGCATCATATGCATTTCATCACGTGTTGTCCATGATGAGGGTGTGTGCATGAAGCGACAAAGGTAGAGGCTTATAGTCCAGAAAGTACGGTATTTCTGAAGCACTTCATTTCTAACCATGAAGAGCTTGATTAGATTAATTCTTTAATCTAGATATGGCTGTTAGAATGACCACTATGAGACACAGATGCGCTGGCTGGCAAAGAGAGAAGGTGCATGGATGTGACGCTGCAGCTACTGTGACATGTTTATGTTGCTGTGCAGAGATGGATCATGAAATCAGCACAATGACACAACATAAAGGAAACAAGCGACAAGCCACCGATAGATTTAATGCTGTATGATATTGGGTGATGGCGGAAGTACTGGAGAGAAAATGGAGATTAGGAGATCAGTGAAGAGATAAAGGGAATGGATTAGAGAGGAAGGGGGAGATACAAAGTAAAGGAACACATGCTTGACATACAACTGATTCTGATTATTTTGAAAAGGTGACGGTAATTCTGTCCAGTCCATTTTTGTAGTTCTCTGTGGAATGTATCTGATTAGGCTTTTTTTCTCTACTTTTTTGTGTTGTTCAATGCAAACAAAAGAATTAAACACAAGAATACCAAAGAATTTGTGATTGCAACAATTTTCTGGGAGAAGTGATGCATTATCTGACAGAAATGCAGAGTACCAATAGTTTTGGTCATGACTGTATATATACAGAGAAAAGAGCAGTTAAGGAAGAAAAAGTTCTAATCAGGAAGCTATGGACAGATATTGAAGCACATAGTATTTGGTTTAGTGCATGCCATGTTGTAAGTCACTAATGCAACAGTTGCTACCCAGGTAACAGTACTTGTGTTTCTTATCAGCTCTATTATTGCACTTTTCCAGCATACATCTTACACAGCTGTTTGGGTTTAAAAGGGTATTTTACTCTTTAATTTTATTGCATGTACACATATTCCTGTCATTGTTTAAAAGGCCATGACAAAGATGTATATACTGACCTGCTGCCCTTTTCATTCACTCACCCACTAAATATAGAGGGGACAAGGGCCTCTGGAGGATGACTCTGTGTGACATGTAGGTGGGAGTGGTGCTCTATACATACAGATAGAGATTGAGTGGGGTGTATGTACAGTACAAGTGTGAGAACAGTCAGCAGAGAATCAGTGGCCTCTTTCCAGAAGCAGCTGTTTCTGTCTCTCTAGAGGTCAACAAGACAAACACAAAGACACACACAGGCACACTGACCTGAGGAGAGCAGACTGCCACTGCTGCCACTGATAATCTTGCCCTTGCTGCCCATATTGGCTAGTTTGGAGGTCTTCAGTGTACCTGTTTCTGTAAGGTCTATGGCAATCTCACTCAAACTTCGCGCTGCATGGATCTTTGACTGGATAGACAAGAATGAAGAGGCTTTGTCAAAACACATCAACAATTTAATTACAACACAAGTACTGACACTGTTTACAGACTTAATGTATGTGGTCAGTGGTGTGTTTTGACTCAGCATCAGGCGGGACTGACAGACCTTGCTCTGCTTGCGGTCCAGGTAGAACTGGTGTTGGCTGATGGCCATGGCCCAGATGGACTTGATGAGGGCAGGACAAGCGTACCAGGTATGCACAGCGATGCCACTATGACCAAACGTCCTTCTTGTCACCGACGCCCTACAGTTGGAGCGGACACAAGGCCTCCTTATATATGCTGAATACAAAAGATGGCTACACATTTAAATGTGTGAGTCCCATCCAATTACTCCAGCACCACTGCTACTCTCAATAAAATACTCCTGCTGCTGCTTTTAGGAAGGAGAAAAAACATTGGAAGCCTGAGAGAGCAAACCTGACAGACATTTTTTGCAAAGCCACACACGATGTTCCATATTGTTTATTCATCCTTATTTAAACACACATCTGTAGCTGAGTTACAGATCAGCTCACCCTAATGACAGCTTCCTTTAAAGAAAATGCCACTGCTCTCTGTTTCACCCTGCCTGTCTCTTTTTCTCCAAATCCCTCTCTCCCTCTGCCTGTAGAATAACACATCACATATATAGCCATGTTAAATAAACACAAGAGAGGTCACTTCCTCTGCAAAACAGCTATCGCTCAGTCATCTATCCTTCTGTGGTCAACTATCAAGGGTTTACCCTGTACACGTTTGAGAGAGACCACATGTGTTTGTGCATACATGTGGCTGCACAAGTGTGTTAATAATCAGCCTATCAGTCTGTGTCAGGCTCCACTGGGACATCCCCAATATTTTGCTCCATTGCCAAGACAAATGCTGCAACCATTACTGAATTAGATTCCAATCTCTCCTTTTCTGCACTGCACTGTATATAGTTTCAATCTTAAGACATTCACAAATGGCACAGTGGTAATATGCAGTAAATGCTATTCAAATGTGTCCACAACTGAGGGAAAATTGTATCACTTCCAAATATTAGCTGGTGAGAATTCCATCACAGCAATAACAATCAATCACTATCATAGGGCCAGTATGTGATAATTATCATCCAACTGATGAAGAAGATAATCAGACACTGCAGCAAGTTGACAAAAATCTACAGTCAGCTTAAATTCGTGATATAAATTTACCTCCTGGGGTCATGAACTTCCACAGAAAACTTTTTCTCCCTGAAGTAGAGATTCTCCAGCTGACGCCATTGGAACACCTGAGGTTTAGGAGAAACACATTCTTCAGTGTTGCTCACAAAAAGACATGCTCCATATTAAATTCACAGTCTTCCCTTCTCTGCGTTTTTCAACTTGTTTTGAAAGAAAATGCAATGGATAAGGAGGAGGAAGAAAGAAAAACTGAAGAAGCCAATGAAGAGGAGGAGTTAGGAACATAGAAGGAGGTGGAGGGAGATATGAGGACCTAGTCTGGAGTTCTCTGATCAGGTCCAGACCAGGCAGTCCACAGCAGATCCTTGCGCTGGATGACCTCACTCTGGAGAAAGACAGTGTAAGAGGTGGGAGGCTTTCTTTCCTTTGCTGGGCTTTTCTTTATTCCTCCCCTTTATGAACTATCAGCTTCTCTTTAAATGAAGCCAAATCCAGCTGGGTAAAAAAGTTTCCCCCAAGACGAACTCCACAGCATGTGTGGATCTTAAATCCTCCAAGATGCAGGGGAACAGAAAATGCTCAGATGCCGGGTGTTCGCCATCTGTAGGCCTACACATGTGTGTGTTGGAGAGAAAATGTGTAAAGTTTCCTCCTCTCCTGGAGCTTTCCTGGGTGGGTTAAGGAGGGAGGGGGCGTTTATGTTTCCCCTCCTCCTGACCCCTCCCACTTCCCTCAGGGACTGCGCTTCCTGCTCTGGGCTCTGCGGTTGGGAGGTGTGTGTGTTTGTAATGAGAGGTCAGGGGAGGAGTGTCGAAGGGGGAAAAGCAGCTTTCTGTGGCCCCAACAACTGGAGTGCCCTCACTTTGTTTAGTCAGACCTCTGTGTACGCACACACACATTCACAAAGTCTGAGTCTGGTTCTTGTTAGAGACAGAGCAGAGTGTATTTGAGATCACAAGAGGGCCTGCATCTATCAGCTGGAGTAGATATACAAGCACGCACACACACAAAGCTCTGATTTACACTGACCAGCTATCAGTGAGGAATGTAAAATGATGCTTCAGATACTAACAAACAGGAGAAAATACATAAAATAGAAGACATAGCTATGACAGTATAAAGGAGGAAATGAGGAGAAAGGGAGCTAAGGGAGGAACTGGTCACAGCCCAGGAATTTTAACAGCCTGGGAAAACAATGAATGGAGGGATGAAAGGGAGGAAAGGGAAGGAGGGGGAGAAATATGGAAAAAAGTATATAAACACAGCCTAATATATGTATTTATGTACTGTACAGTATGTGTGTGTAAGTGGGTCCACTAGCATGAACAAAACAAACCAGTGCCCTTATCAGAACTCTCGCTGTACCTTACATTTTCAATGGAGTGTGAAGTGCAAATGTAGCATGGTGCTAAATATAGCAGACAGGGTAGATAGTGAGAGGGTGCTTGTGTGAAAGAGAGAGAGAGAGAGTGTGTGTGTGTGTGTGTGTGCGCGCTGGCTACATGTGGGACAGAATTTATGGAGATAAGATAGGTGTTTGCAACTATGTTCTAGCACGAGACCACTAAAGCTGCAATTCTGCTTGTTGACTTTGATGTTTCAGGATAAGCTGTGTATGTACAGTACATACTGTATGTGGTGCAAACAGAATGTTGACACCAGTCACATGATTGTACGACGAGAAATATAGCCAGTCTAGAGTAAAATTAGACATTTTTGTTATGATTCTGTGCTGATTCAAAAAGTGTTCCAGTCTACTGTAAGTCTACTGTATTAACAAAAACTTTGTAGTCTTTGTCTGACTGTGAATGGCTTGAAAATCTGATTAAAAATGCTGACAGTTTTTGTTACTAGGGCGAGGGCTGTGTACTACTTATGTATGTGTTTGCTACAGTATAAACCCTGTTCTCTTTTTGAAACACTCGCACACAATGCACAAATGCACACAAGCAAAGGAAGTGACATAAAAGACTGGGCGCTCATGTGCAGAGACCCACATCTGTCTAATAATGTCTGCGCATACATTCATTACAGATGAAAAGGTCACATCTGATAATGTGTAAGGACCTTTTCTTCAGAGCAGTGGACACCCTGAGGACTAGGGGAAAAATAGAAGCTTAAAATATCATAGGTTAGTACAACAGTGAGGCCAGGTTTTATTCTTTTCTAGAATTAGACCCGAAGGTCCCAAAGAGTATTGTTTCAACCATGGGTGAGTTTTGCTGTGCAATACTATATTCACTAGTTGCCATGGAGTTGTAGACACACTCTAGGGCTACTTCCTGTTGTGAGTGTTTTTGCTGTGGTATTTTGAAGGTGTGACATTTATGGAAAAACTATATGAAACTGACAGATGTTGAAGAATGTTAGTGGGTGTGTAGAAAAACTGCACTAATTTGCAGCGAGTTGCATGTGAGGTGACATTAATTTAACCCACAGTTTATAGACCCTATAATCTCTGCCATAATGAGCCAGAACTCACTAATAAAGCATTAGTATGGTGTGTGGTTGGGCTGTAAACCCATTCCTGTACAAACGCTATATGAATCTGCATGTGGCCTTTGGTAAGTAGAGGGGAGAAAGTATTTTAACATCCTCAAATAAACATGGAGGGTGTGGTAGATGGACTTCATTTAGAAACAACAGGACCTCCCTTTGTAAAAAGACTAATTAAATACAACCGCCTACAATACACACCTATTCTACAGCACAACTTGAAGTCACTTATCAATGAAAACAAAGTTTATGCTGAAAGCATAAACCATTTTTATTGTGAAAAAAGACAGTAATTAGCTGAAAATATCTTATAATTAAATGTTCTGCCTCCACCTACTGAAAACCTGAGCACTGACAAGCTAGTGATTATACTCTGAGTCAGTGGTTACTGGTACAGGATGGGTTGAATGACTGACTAATCACAAAATCAACTGCTCTTCCTCTGATTTGTTGAAACAAAGAGATGACTCCCAACACAACATATGGAAAGCTCCTCATGACCTCTCCGAACATCTCTTCCTGTGAAAGACTAAAGAGCTTTAGAATGGAGCTTTTCTCTGCCTTATCAGTAAACAAAAGTGAACCCCA